TGTGAGAGGTGAAAGCGAGAGTGAGGAAGAGCAGGAGAGGAACAGGAGAGGAACACAAACACTCGCGCGTTTCCTGCGCACATACACGCGTTCCGGTTACCGGAGCCGGTTCGGTTTGGATTTTTCGCCCGATGATGATGATGATGATGATGAAGTTTCTCGGCGCTGTGTGAATCTTTGTGAGCTGGACGCGGTTCCTGGAGGAGGATGAGTTCATAAACTCACCGCTGACTGACATCAGACATTAACGGTAAGAACTGATCGGCGTGTTTGATATGTGTGTGTGTGTGTGTTTTTGGTTCGGTTCGCTGCGCAACCTGTGTGTGTGTGTGAGAGAGAGAGAGAGAGAGAGCGAGAGAGAGATACTGTCTGCATTATTCTGCTGATGAACTATTTTTCAGGTGTACTATTTTTAATGTTGTAAATCTTGTACATGTGAATAATCCAGGTAGCCCACATATAGAGTTTTTCTGAAGTTGAGAATTTAGAATAATTTATCTGATTATTATTAGTCACAATACAGGAGCTGTTTATGTGCATTCAGATCTAAATTTGTGCTTTTCACACGATATTAATCTATAAAATTGGAAGTTGGATTAATTTATTGCCATTGTCACTTACAAAAAAGTGGCAAAAAGTACCATGATAATACCATGTTTTTAACATGCATGCATGATGGTAATGCCATGTTATTGTATAGTGCTTCACAGTACCGTAAAGGCCATGGTCTATAAAAATGGCGATTATTCAGTATCAAATTATGATGCTGTCGCTTGTAATAATAGCATTATTGCATTATTTGGATTCAGATGTTCAGTATTTGTCTTGTTAAAAACATCAGCTCAATGTGTGAGTCTGCAGTGGTGATGATGATGTGAATTACTTTGAATTCCTTAATAATTCATAAATTATTAATAGGAATGGTTGATCACGGAAGGTTTGAGTCGTGCCCAGTGGTTTGGCGGTTAAATAATAACTCACATGTGTTCAGATGTTTGTGTTTTGTTGAGCACATAGTTCATCTGAGGTCATTCTGTGTTTCAGATGAAAGTTCGGATGCACTCAAACATAATCCAGCTCTAATTTAACTCGTATTAATGATGTACTCCAGGATATTCCAAGGGTGTCTCAAAGGCAAATGACAAAAGCCTTTTATGCCATCATAAAGAATGAGCGTCTCTGGCATGTGAAGGAGAAATCTCTATTGTGAGTGGCCGTGTGAAAGCAGCGTTAAGTGAAATAGAAATACTACATATTATCATCAGCATTAGATGATTTCATCCTTCAGGCTTTTGTGTGGCTGTCAGCAGGACTTCAGATCAGTCTCAAGGTTAAAGCTGTGCTTTTGCAGGACGAGGTTCAGTCGGAGCAAACGGAGGCCTGATCTGAGATCTGCTGGGCTTATGTTTATATTAATTCATTTAGCAGACGCTTTTTATCCAAAGTGACTTAAGAAGGAGCAACATCACAAGCAGTTTGCCATAAAAGCCTCAATATTAATAGCAGATTAGTACACAAACAAGAGCAGAGGAGAAATGCACATGAAGTGTCTTCAGCTGTGATGGTCTCAGCAGATCTTGTGGATGTTTGCATCTCGTTCCAGCGGTGTTCGTTTTTTTCAGCTGCTTTCACACATTTTCGAAACTTTGCCTCATTTTTTTTTTTTTTACTTTACACATAAATCCAAGAATTGCACACACAAAATGCACACACATTTCTTGCAAAATGGAGCACTGCGTGCATTCAAAATATCACAAACACATCTCAAAAGCAAACTAAATATTACAGTTTTTTTCAACTGCTTACACACAAACTCTTCACTTGTCACACAGTTTCTGAAAGCGGTCACTCAAACAGCATTCTCAGCAATGCTGAAAGGTGCACTAAAGCAGGCATTAGCTTGACATTCAGACAGTTTTCTACTATTGCCATGACAAAGCAACAGTTTAAACAACAGTTTTCTGAGATGTAACGGCACATAATGCACGTTTAGGCCTGAAACATACTTTCACAACAAACCATACATCAATGGAAAGCTTATTTATTCAGCTTTCAGATGATGTAAAAATCTCAATATCACAAAATCGACCCTTATGACTGGTTTTGTGCTCCAGGGTCACACATCTCCTTTTGTGTTCAACAGAAGATAGAAGGTAAAAACATGAAGATAAATGATGACAGACTCTTCATTTTTGTGTGAAAGAGTGAAGTTTGTAATGTGTTAGCCGAGCGTTTGGATTTCTGTCGTTCTGGCATCTGATAGTTTCTCGGTTTCTGTGCGACGAGTTTCCTGCAAAACCTCACAGAACAGCTGAAGTCTGGTCTCGGAGGCCTGATGGATGTGTGTAGGAACAGCACTGAATGTGTTCACAGATCCTCTCTGGGAACGATCAGGTGTTTAGCAGCTCTCCGGCTTTATAAGCTCTTAATGATTGTTTGTTTGTCGATTCCAGGAGATCTGATTGGCTCTGATCTCTCTCTCAAACACACACACACACACACACACACTCTCTCTCTCTCTCTCACACACACTCACACACACACACACACACACGTGCCATAGCAACCAGGAGGGCTTCGCCGTGGCAACGGGAGGCTGTTGATGCTGAATGATTCCTCAGATCAAGTGTCTTCTTGTTATTTTTGTCAAAGATTTACACTGAAGGCTGAGTTGATATAATATATATAGATATAGAGTCTTTAAATACTATATCAGCTTGGCTTTTATGTAAATCCATGAAAAAAAGATTTACATCTAGATCTGAGCCAGCATTGGGAGTTTGCACAGGCAAGCGTCAGTCACATTTTCATCAGAAAACATAAATCAATGACTTGACAGGTTTTTGCTCTATTACAACACACTGTTAATTCATATGTTACAGTTTTTTACGATTGCTTACACACTAAAATTAAACTTTTCCAACAATTAGCAAAACCTTACACTCAAGGAGCAAAACACAAGGCTAGATTTGCACAACTGTAAGCACATTGTTGTTTATTATTATATTAATTAATTTCTTCAAAAATGCTTTAAACATTAATTCCTACATATGATGACTTGAATATAGTATGATGAGCATGTTTTTAATTTCTGGATTAAATATCAGAATATCAATAAAACATTTTTTAAAAATCTATTAAAAAAATTCAAAAAACAAAACACACACACACACACACACAAATATTTATGTTAATAATTCATGATATGTATTTTGAAATATTATTTAAATAAATATATAAATTTGATTAAAATAAAAATGGATTTAAATAAATCAATAGCAAATATTTATAAGTTAATAACTCATGATATGTGTTCTGAAATAATATTTAAATAAATATATAAATTTGATTAAAATAAAAAATTATTTTAAATAAATAGCAAATATTTATAAGTTAATAACTCATAATATGTGTTCTTAAATATTATTTAAATAAATATATTAATTTGATTAAAATAAAAATGTATTTAAATAAATAAAACACTTTATTTAAATAAATAGCATCCAACAATACAGTACTGTAAAATGTAATGATGTGATGTAATAGAAACTAGATATTTTACATTTGTTCTTTTTTACTTAAAAAATGTACTGATCGTCTTATAATCTACAGTGGAAAACCGTAAACAGTGACTCTTCACATTAGATGGTATTTTTCTATTAAACTACATTTTTAAACTGAAATATTTACAGGTTTTTCTGTACATTTCTACAGAATTATTCTGGCAAATTCTCTCTCTCTCTCTACTGTATGTTGTCTACATTTAGATGCAGAAATGTGTGTGTTTTTGTGTTTTCCTGCAGTCAGGTGCTCAGAGGTCAGTAATGAATCATATTAATCACTAGGAGCTTTGACTATATTATTAGTGGCTCCTGCATTAACTGGACACCAGCAGCACAAAACGTTAATTGGAGGCGTTGCGATGGTTGGATAAATCAGCTCCGGGACGACAGCTTTATGAGCCGCGGCAGGAAAGAAGGGCTTTCACTTTAATAGGACAAGATAAAAATTGTTGGGATTGTTTCTTCAGTCTGTGTGTGACAGTGATTCTGCTCTTTCCTAACACATGCATGCAGATATGTAATGGCCAGAATCGCTCATTTCTGGCTGGTTTGCCCCTCTGTGTTTTATTGCAGTCTCTCAGCTTAATTCGAGGCTCTGTGCAGGGAGATATTTCACTGCGACGTGCCTATAAAAGCGTCCCGTACGCTTCACTTGAGTGTAATAAAGCATCTCAATCTCTCAGGATGGTGACCTCTGAACCCTCCAACTCTCAGAGGTCACGACCCAGGTCAAGGAGACCAGAGATGCTGTTTGGAAAGGTCAAAGTGCATTTAGAGGACGTTTGTGTTTTTAACATAAAGGCTGATTGTGTCAAATGTGAGCCGCTGTCTTTGATTTGTCGTTACGTTTATTTATACAGCATTTTATACAATACAGATTTAAATACAGCTTTACAGTAATAGGAAAATAACAGCATCACTGTTGCAATATTTTTTAAATAGGCAACAGTGTAGTTCAGTTTCAACTATAAAGCAGCTTTACAAGAGACAATGTCATTATTAATTATTATAACTTATTTTGTGCCACGTGTTATTTTAGTATCATTCAGATACTATTATAGTTTTTATCATTCATTCATTTATCATTTTCAATTTCATTTTAAAATTTTAGTAATTTTATTGGTTTTTTGTTGTTGTCTTTTGTGTGTGTGTGTGTTTGTGTGTGTGTGTGTGTGTTTGACCTCTTTGAGTGGATCTCGTCATGTGAGTCTCACTGTGCTCTGCTGGTCACTGTGTGTCATTACACTCAAGATGATGTTGCATTAGTTTTTTTCAGCTGCTTAAACACATTTTCAAAACTTTACACACAAATCCAAGAATTGCACACAAAATGCAAAAAG